ATGTGATGGGATTGGAAAAAAGGGGGCCTCCCCCCTCCCAACTGTGTGGTTTAAAGAAAACCAAACCCACAGCTCTAATAAGGAAATTTCCAATGATGCCTTTACACTGCACCCTGGAGTAATTAACAATGCATGAGATGAATGCTGTTAGTCTCCAGAAATGTCAGGTAACATCACTCACTTTGAAGGCAGTTCAACCAATCTCCTGCGTAAGTGTGGAGCAGAAACGACTTTTGTTTTGTAGTAATTGAACAAACGGGCTTTTGGAAATTGTCGTGAGAGGTAATGTGCTACAAATTGAAAATTAATAAAAAAGTTCTCTGACAAAATTATCTTAAAAAAAAAAAATACAAAACCAAACCAGTATGTGGCACTTGGCCCCCTCAAAATGCAACATGAAAAGTGAAGATGCAGCACGCCAGGTACATCTTCCTCTGGTGTATCAGGATGTATATTTGTCTGCTGAATTTTTCTTTTTTTAATGGCTTTTCTTGGTTCCTAACCTCTATTTCCTGGAATAATTTCATTGTCCCTCACTGATGTTAATAAAAGCTTCCAGTTTAGTAGTATCTACAATTGTAATCCATGTGCTGTTTATTACTAATCTGGAGGAGGGGTAAAGAGTGAGACCCTTGAAGGTACATTGGCATCTAGGTTGTGATTTTAGGCACTGCTGCAATTCCCCAGAGCTCCTGCTCAACAGCCATCAAAGCCTGTAAGCGCCTAACCTCACTTGGTACCTAAGGTGTTTGTGTGTGGGGCAGAGGGACGGTGGGGGAGGGTTTGCTCTGAGCATGCACACTGCAACCTCAATCTAGGCACCCAGGTATCTGTCTCCTGCCTGAGCATGTGCAGTACTGCCTCCTGGTAGGTGTTCGGGCCATATTAGTACCTTAGATTTTGGGGGGTGGGGAAGGGATAGTTCCATAAAAGAAATGCACCTTCTAACTACTCTGTGAGCAGCATCAGTTCCATTGACCGCTGCCACCTATGCCCTGGAGCCATTACAAACCAGGGAAGAGAGGTGTTTGGCTCCCTAAGTCACAGGGGCCTGATCCAGTAGGCATGTTCAGAGGCTGCCTGCCAGATTGGGTCCTGCAGGTGAGTTCACACTACAGCTAGGAGGTGGGGGGGACAAGAAGGCAGAGCCTTATAACCTGTAACCTAGTGGTTAGGGTACTCACTTGGGTTTAGAGACCCCCTCGCCCTGGTTCAAGTCCCTCCTCCTCCTGAGGAGAAGGGGCTTGAACAGGGATCTGACACCTCAGGTGAGTGCCCTAAGCACTGGGTCTCCTTCAATCTCTCCTATTGAAGCTGTTCCACTTTAATTAAACAATTGACTGATAAACTATTAATTGGGCCAGAGAAGGAGTTAGGATGACTCTGTAACTAGGGGCCTCCCATATCCTGGGTGAGTACCCTGTCCACTAGGCTGAAGGTTACAAGGGAGTTTCTTCCGTCCCCCCATTTTGTTTCAGGCCCTATGCACAACTTAAGCAGCCAAATGGCTTCTCCCTCCACCCCGGTCATGAATCCTAGCAGAGATCGCCACCTCCCTGCAGCCTTGTCTTAGGTGCCTGTCTCTGGGAGAGGGGTGGGTCTTAGCGCACACCCCTCGTGTTGGCATCTCCCATTAGCAAGCTTAGGTGGCTCCCCGCCTAGCGTGCTGGCTTTGTGGGTCCCGTTCTTAGGCAGCTCTCGTGCTCTCCCCATTCATGGTGTAGGGGGCATAACTCAGCTTTGTGGGGTGGGGGGTGTTCCTCTGACTTTTCTAGGCACCTAGAAGATAGGCCTTGCAACGCTGCACATAATAGCACCTAAGTCCTGTCATGCATCCCACCAATGTGCTTGATAGAAGCAGACCTACCAGCGTTTCCCGTGGCGCTTTGCTGGTCTCACCTCCCGCTTGCTCAGTACACTATCTTTGTGGTGATCCTTTGGCCAGTTTTCAATCTATTTCTCAGTACTTCCATCCAAGTCAAACCAAACAAATCTGTCAAGCTTTGGAAAGACCGTCTCAGGCCTGATGATGTAATGGGCTGCTGACAGAACTTGTTGCCAGCTTGAGCACTGGATTTATTTATTTTTAAATAGGATAACTAATAAACGTACCCACGTTTGATTGAGTTTCCTTGAGAGCTGTGAACTCTGAATTGTCACTAGTCCCCTAACCAGGGACTGTGTTTACCCATTTCAGCAGAACTCTCCACTGAACTCATTTTCACTCCATTACCAGTGTGGTAGGTTCTAGGATGTTGCCTAACAGTACAGGGCTCCTGCTGGCGTGCTCAAATTTCAGGAGCTAGAACGCTGAGTAAATGGAGCTATTTTTGCTGATTTCGGGTCAGGTGCTCCAATCCCAAGGAATGAAAGGGTTCGTTGGAGCCTAACGTTTCGTTCTTGTTTGTTAAAGACAAAGGCTAGGAAATACTAGACACCATGTATGTTGCTGTGTTTGGAGCAGGGTGGGCTTCCCATCTCTCAAAGGGGGAAATGCAGATTTGTTTCTCATTTTCTTTAATAAGCAATGACATACTTTTTTTTGCAAAGCAAAGCAAGGGAACTTTCCGATAGCAGCAAAATAAACCAAACCAGATAGTCCCACTGCATTTCCTTCGCTCATTCACCTTGTTCACCATGACATTCCAAAACTAATTACCGCCATTCACAATATTCCTTCGCTAACCACATTCGCACCTTGTGAGTTGTCATCTAGACCCGGTTATATTTATGTCCACATTTTCTAAGTGTTCCCGCACCTACATTTTATCGACAGCTGTATCTAATGGGCCTTCGTTACCTCTTAATGGTCTGTATTTCTCTGCTTTATTGTTATTTTGAAGAGAGATTTTTAAAATCCAGTTTGGTAACTTGGCCATTTTAGAACCATCATTACTTTGATTTCCCTCTTACATGTTGAATCGGTCTGTTTTCTAAGTTGTAGTTCCTTCTCCCACTGATGTACACCTCTACCTCGATATAACGCTACCCGATATAACACAGATTCGGATACAACGTGGTAAAGCAGTGCTCCGGGGGGGTGGGGCTGCACACTCCGGTGGATGAAAGCAAGTTCGATATAACGTGGTTTCATTTATAACGCGGTAAGATTTTTTTTTGGCTCCCGAGGACAGCGTTATATCGAGGTAGAGGTGTAGTTGTACAAATTCTTCTGATTCTTCTCAGTGCCTTTTGTTGGCAGTAACTCATTCTGCTTTTCATAATGTCCTTATCTTTTCTCATCAAGACTTAATTAGTCACCTATATTTTGTTTAGTTCGCTCTCCCTTATTTAGATTCTTTCTTATCCTCAAATTCTGGAGAAGTCACCCAGGGATCTCAGCCTACCAACCTTCTGCTTCATAATGTTCCTGTTGCTCTTGTATTCATCATTGGACTTATCAGTGTGCACATGACATCTTAAGGAATCATCTCTCTGGATTTTAGTTTTTCCCTCACTAGCTTATATTATTCATTAAGAACATAAGAACGGCCACACTGGCTCAGACCAATGGCCATTTAGCCCAGTATCCTGTCTTCCAACAGTGGCCAGTGCCAGGTGCTTCAGAGAAATGAACAGAACAGGGCAACTATCGAGTGATCCATCCTCTGTCATCCAGTCCCAACTTCTGACAGAGGTTTAGGGACACCCAGAGCATAGGGTTGCGTCCCTGACCATCTTTCTAACAGCCATTGATGGACCTATCCTCCATGAATTTTTCTAGTTCTTTTTTTAATCCAGATACATTCATTGAATCCAGTTATACTTCAGTATTTATATTTAGCATTATTTCCAGTTAATCTTTCATTTTGCACGCGTCTCACATTTGAATAAACCCAATTTTGAAATGCTCTTTTATTATTGCCATATTCAGCTTTTGATGATATTCAGAAAGTAAAGGCAACAGTTGATTGCTTATACATGGCGTTAGTTACACAATAGGTGGCAGGTCCTGGGGCTGCTCTACAAACAGATTTTTGACATGAATATCGTTAAATCAGTGCAACCCCATTAGTGTGGATTCAGTTATACTGGTAGAAAGGTGTCTATAGCTTGTTTCAGTGAACCAAATCCCAATTGGTAAACATTAGGGGTTGTATTAATTTTAACCTCTGTATCTAAACTGATAGAGCTGTACAAAAGCGGTGTGCCATTGCCTTAAGGCCAAAACAAGTCTGCTGTAAGTTTCCTATTGATGTCTCTGGGCCAGAATCAGTGGAACTATGCTATGAACTGTGGTGTTAAAGTTGTGTCAGCTGTAGATGGATCAGAAAATGGTCTGACAGTTAAAATGGCTTGATCTGTGCTGATTTGGTGTTCAGAGGGTGTGCAAAATGAATGTAATTTAAATGCTTTTTCTTTCAGCAGGTATCAGTAGAGTGAAAATTCTTGTCTAAACAAAGTTTATGGTCAAGCCTATTCTTTAACTTGGGTTAAAGGTGCAAAACTGCTTCTACAATAGGTGCTAAGTGGTGGTGCAAATTTGGGCCTAAGCGGGCCAAATTGTATAACTATATTTCAACAACAAAAAAATCCCACTTTCTTTCCTAGTCCAGGTCTAAGAGCACCCTTCTAACTCCGAGTGTAAATTATATTGTGGTTTGTGTCGCCACTGAACCTGGCCAGTATCCGGGGGGGTGTGGGGAGGGCTTAGTAGTTCTGTTCAGAAAATTCCCAGTTTGGAAGAGGTAGCCATTTGTGTGCATTTTGCGTTGGGAAGAAAATGTGGATGTAGTGGGTTATTGCCCAGAATTATTTCAGATGTTCTTAGGAGTGGCCAACAGCATGAATATACTTGCCAGGATGAAGGTATTTGTATCTCATTCAGCCTATATTATTGCAATAGGCAAAAGACCATGTGGTAGAGGTGTGCCTCATGGTTTCACAGGTATGGAGCAAGGGTGACCTGCTGTTACAAGATAGAGTATTATTTTGGTTATTTTAATTCCATAATTTCCATTTTGCTAACTAATCTCTTTTCATTTGAAATGTCTTTGCAGATAAGCAAGCAGCAGCTCCAGATAGTCAAGGATCGATTCCAAGCATTTCTCAATGGAGAAACGCAGATTGTGGCGGATGAAGCTTTTATTAATGCAGTCCAAAGTTATTTCGAGGTAAGGCGTGATGGTGAGGCAATTGTTGGGCATGAAATACACAAATGAGCACAGCGGACAATGGTTTCTTATGAACAAGTGTTGCATGGCCTCTTCTGCATTAATAGTTCCATCCGAATCTCTTTGGATGGGCTCTGACAGCCAACAAATAAACTCAGTGCTGTTTAAACCAATTCTCCCAAAATATTTTAAAGAAAAGTAAATTACGGTTCAACAGTTAAATCATCTGTGCTAAGTTTAGTGCCGTGCTAAATGTGTACTCCTGCATAATGTAGCTAAATACTTCATGTTCTTACTTTTGGGTTAAATTCTGTTCGAATGGATACCTCCACATTGCTGTTGAGGTCAGTTGGGCCAAATTCTCCCGTTCATTCAGCCCGGTGGCATGTGTAGAGTAATATTGGGAATGAAGGTAGCCCATGGGGGTGACATAGAATGCAGAAAAGAGAAAATTTGGCTCTTTGAGGGTACTGTCATAATGTATGTGGTGACCCAACAAGAATAGCAAAGGCCTTGAAAAGCTTTACATATTGCAATAGAGGGCATCATTAAAGTCTCTGCGCTTGTCATTAGCAAGTAATCTGTGTCATCTCTGTACTAGAGACAGCACCCCAAATGCTTCAGTAAAATTAGTCAAAAAGTAAAATTATAAATATTTTGACGGCCACTAATTACACTTAAACCTGGTAAGTTGGGGCTAGCACAGACACTTGAATAATATTAACGTTACCTTTTAATTGCATGGTACTATGTTTACTTATTAACAAATATAGTGAATGACAAATAGTACTTAATAGTGCACTTACAATGCTGTCTGCAATTCAGAAAATGTTTTGTTGGGAGCATTTTAAGGCCGTAAAATCACATCTGTCCTTCCACTCCCTGCTAATATTCTTTGTTTCTCTGATGAAAACTAGCCCACTCCCTCCCCCAAACCAAACTTGTCACAAATAATTGTCAACAACTTAATTTTCTGATTTTGGCTAAGATATTGATTTAAAAATATATATATATTGAAATTGGATTCAGGATTGTTAGCAAGCATTTTTGGCAAACAAAGCTGTAAAATGACAATCTAACATGATTTTGATAAAGGTATTTAAAATGCCACCAAGACTCTGGCAAAAAAGGAAAAACCGGTCTATTTTGAACCCTGCGCAAAACATAAGGTTGAAAAAAAAAAATGCTCAAAGCTGATCAATGGCAACACAGTACTGCTTTTGTGGTTGGCTCGCTCCCGACCTGCTGGTCCAACAGCTGCAGTAGAGTAGGAAATAGGTGAAAAGCCTTGGGACCCCAAAATCCATCTCTTGGGGTGCAGAGTGGCAGCAGCAGCAAATCTTCAGGTCAGGTCATACCATCGGGCACCGCAGCCGGCATCACGGTGAAATGCAGCATCTCAGGGATGGGGGACCTGTGGGGCCATGGGGTGGACCGCAGCCGCGTGAGACACACTTCCCAGCCCAGCCAGCTTTGCGTATTCTAGCCCGTGTGGTCACTCGGAACAGAGGCGCTCGGGCTGGCTGCCGAGGAAGTGAGTCACTTCCTTGGCACGCAGCCAGCCAGCCCGAGCACCTGCACCCCACCCAGCTCTGCCGGGGGAGGGCTCATGGGGGGTGTCGGCCACTCCACAGGGGGGCTGCACTCAGCGCTGGGGGGGGGGGACTCCACTTTGCGGGGGGAGGAGAAGAAGAATGTGCGTTACGCTGGGGCAGCAAAAGGATACCGCCAGAGCCGGTGCCACCCGACCCCCTCGCCTCACGGCGGCGAGGAGAGAGTCACACAGGTGAGTTCCCCCGCCCCTTCCCAGAGACCCCAGCAGTACCCTCCCTCAGAGTGCGCCACTGTGCCGGCTGATTTGGCACTACGACCTGACCGCTCTTACCTGCTTGCTGTCCCGTCCCGGCGGTGGTGCCCCCAATTTAGTGGTGCCTGGCTGCGTATGCCTAAGGACGGCCCTGCCCATTGTCTCCGGTGCCTGGAAGACTACATTTCCCATACACCAATCTGCTGATGCACCAACCGAGATACATAGTGCATCATGGGAGGTGCATTTTGGGAGATGTGGTTTGGGAGCCTGATGCACCTCCCATGATGCACTATGTATCTCGGTTGGTGCATCAGCAGATTGGTGTATGGGAAATGTAGTATTCCACAATTGTAGATACTACTAAACTGGAAGCTTTTATTAACATCAGGCACCACTAAATTGGGGGCACCACCGCCGGGACGGGACATTCTCCTCTAGGAGCCAGGCTCCCTGGCCTGACTGTCTCCCATAACGCACATAGATCCATGCAACTCCCTTGATTCATCACACAGCTCAATCAGAGCTCAATCCCATAAGCCCATTGCCTTATGGGAAATGAAGTCCTCCAGGGAGCCCAGCCTATAGGAGAAATTAGGGCCAGAACTGTTTGTTTTTTGTTAGTTCAGGGTATGTCTATGCTACAGTGGCACTGCTGCAGCTGTGCCACTGTAGTGCAGATGCTTCCTACATCAGTGGAAGGGGTTTTTCCATCAATGTAGTTAATCCACCTCTCCAAGAGGTAGCAGCTAGGTCATGGAGGAACTCTTCCGTTGACCAAGCTCATCTACAATGGGGGTTAGGTCAACCTAACTACATCGTACGGGGCATAAATTTTTTCACAGCCTTACCACTGTAGCCAGGCTGATCTAATTTTCAGATGTAGAGCAGGTCTCAGAAATTTAGTAAGAGACAGAGCCATGGAACTGGCTTCAGTTTGGCAGCCTGTAGGTGTGGTGACTGGGCCTGAATCTCATCTCGCACTGGTTTTACATCAAGCAAATCCATCATCTCCTGCTGCTCTCATCAGGCCGGATTCTCCTTTTGCCTAAAGGAGTGTACTTTACATGCTGAGGGGACATGAGGTGTGGGCGTAGCAGGGATACTCGCTAAATCTGTCTTATCGTATAGCCTACAAAATGGTCACTTATTTGTTTTCCCCAGCCACACCCTCCTTCCTGCTTCCTCTGAGCGAAAGTTACTTCTTATACACACTAATGGCCTTTTACTGAAAATCAATGGCAAGATTCCCATAGAATTCAATGGCATAGGAACAAACCCTCGGGGAATATCAGAACAATGCAGGTTACACTGCTTTATCAGTTACACTTAAAGTGTAAAGTGGGCTGATCAGAAGATGGATGTAACTTGCATCCTTCTTCCTTTTTTCCTTTTCAGAAACCGTCCCCGCTTTTCCAGGAAAAATGTAAGATTCTATAATGGGGATTGCTGTGTTTTTATATTTCTCTGAGCACTTGAAATTGCCTTGATGGATGCAAGATTCCACAGATACTTCCCAAGGCAGTTAGTTTGATCTTACGTGGGTTTAATAGTTCAGTTGTTTCTATTTTGCCCAGTGGCCTCAAAATGATCTAGTGGCACAATTATTGATTAGGAGTCCAATTAATGTAATAGTAAACAGTATGATGTGGCTGGCCTGGTTGATCCAAAGTGTTTTCCTTGCAATGAGCTTTCTAATTGGTTACTCTGTTGCATTTCAGAACACTTTTATATACAGTCCTTAAGAAACCAAAAACTGCTCAATGGGGTTGACATCAGTTATTTTGAGTAGATTACAAAAATGACTTGGATTTAGTCTGATAGATACAATTTTGACTCTTCTGTTGTATTAAATGGAGAGTTGAAAATTGCCTTATAACTGAGCGACCATATCGCTCTGGTAACTTTAATAAGGCATCCCTTCAGCAAATGTGTATTGGATAATGGGGTTGTTTTTTTCCAGTTTTCAAATGATCGAAAGCAGTTGGAAAGCAATAAAAGAATTAATGTGAAACTGGGGATGACTTCACCCAATAATACTCAAACATTTAATGCATATCATTTGCACAATTCCAAGGCCATAAATCATAATTAGGAAACATACTTCTCTAATTATGTTCCTTTTTAAAGAAAAGTAATATTTTGGCAATTAACTAGATTTGGTAATGAATAGTCTTCATTGTACTAATTAGTTTGTAGGATTAATCACCATTAAATCTGTAGTTGTTGACATGTTGTCATTTAGCACAGTGAATGTCTTTATAACCTCGCTTTGTACATTTCAGTCTAGCAATAAACCAAGGCACAATTCCGTATGATTCTAGCCTCACATATTTACATCCACATACAGAATTTATATGAATGGTTGTGTCAAAATACATAATGATGCAAAGCTGGGAGTTTGTATCGGCCAACCTCCATACCAGTGTTTAAATCTGAGGGCTGTTAAATTCAAGGGTGTAGGCAGATCAAATATGTCAGGGTAAACACACGGAGAGAGACCCTCTGTAACCCTAGAAGACTCGCGAGGTCAAAATCAGCATCCTGAGTTGCTGCTGGAAATGAATTGCAAGCAAGTGCAGATGCCACAATGTAGTGAATGTCGTGCTCTCTGAGAAATATCACTGTGACTGGGCAGTCAGTCTGCTCTTGCTGGAGTTTGAGTGATTATTCAGGTGAATTTTGGATTATTGACAAGAATTTCACGTTTTCATCCTGAATGGTCTCTGGGTACTGTTACAGGAGTTTTCTGTCTCTATATATGTAAATAGTTAGATTAGCTGGAACATACAGCTCTGGTCATAGCTTTTGGAGGACCACTGAAACGTCTTGTGCACTGCAAATAGCTTTCTTTGTGCAGCTGTTAACACAGACTTTCATACCCTTCCTCCGAAGGGAAGAAGAACTTGTCAGAAGGGGGATTGATTTATCTGAGCAGTGTAATTTATTTTTGTCAGCCTTCCTGCCAATCATCTTTCTCTCTCCAAGCTATTCACCATAAAAGGTGAAGATCTGGTTCATAAATTGTGGGAGTGGAGAAAAATTCAATGGTAAAACCTTGAAGAGAATTTAAACTCTCACGCATGATAGCAAAGGGCAGCAACTGCCGTTGTGCAGGGAAACACATAATTCATCCCTGGTTTAGCTTTGCTGAATTGGTCTAATGGTCCCAGCTCTGTCTCTTTTCTCTAGG